GCCTCTGAGCTCGCCACTCAAACCACCGCTGCCTCTTTCGTTCTACACGATCGTTCGATTATTATTTTCGTCCAACGTACCCTTCTCTATATCACTTATGTCGAGATATTCTGTCGTTCAAGGTCGATATCCCCACTATCGTCAATTTCCTTATTGGAAACCGTACATTCGTTACATATTTGTTTCGATATACTCGATCTGTATAAAAATTTATATTTGTCGTGCTCTAATGATATATTTTAAGGTGCAGGTCTCTTCTTTACCAGAAATACAATCGGTCATGAAAAAAAATGTTTATATCACGAATATTAACATATCGTATATTATGGCTATAGGAAATGACAACTTCGATTATCGTATATCGATCGATCAAAGATATCAATTAAATGTTTCTGGAATATGTAGCAATATTAATCTCTGTTTAAATTATAAAATATAAGAATTATTAAATTAAGAATATAAGTGCCAATAAAGTTATTGTACTGCATAAAATAAAATAAATAAATGGAGAAGCGAGTTCAACGGTATATTATCGCACAATAGATATTCACTTAACTGAAAATGAAACTCATTGATGGAGATCTTATATTCAATTACAAGTAAAATTTATCCATCATTTTTACGATATTTTAGAATTGATAAAATTTTATTTTATGCTTAAGAAAAAGGAAAGAAAGAATGGATTCCATTCAAAGATAACCAACCGCGCGATTCCTCTGACACGTTGCTATTAACCATAACCAAAGCAATTTTCTCGCTCCTCCGTTTCTCCATAGAATCGAAAACAGGCGAATCGCTTTTTCTTCGTCGGGACACGCGTTCGTCGAGACACAATGGACACCTTTTTTTTCTTCTCCTTCAATTCGACCTCGTTGTGTTTCCTTCGTCCTCCACACACGATGCGCGACGGATTTAATTAGAGTCGCATCGCCTCCAGATATATACGCTTGTCCGAGGATAATTTCGCTTCGCCTACCGTCCTGTCCCATGGCCAACGAAATTAAGGCGGCGTTTAATGAGCGTGAGGACAGTGGAGGGGACCGCCCATAAAGCTCCTCCGGCATTGCGCCAACTTTTGACTAAGGATAATTAAACGAAGCGTATTTGATCGAGCGTATAACCTCTATAGAATTTACTAGTATTATATTTATTAATATTGTTTATCCAGAAAATTTTTAATGGAATTTGTTGATAATAGATAAATCGATGTTTGAGGTTCGAAATGCAACGAGATTTATACATAGAAAGAAATGTGGAATTTAAATGAAGTTCGATTTATCTGTGAAGAAGAACTCTAGGGAAATTATTTTAGGTTAATTATCTGTCGAAATTGTAATTATGATATATCGTTCTCTGGATAATAAGAATATTAGCGCGAAACTCAGAAAATTGGCCGATTCGATTCTCGTCGAAAACATGTATTATCCAAATTACATTTCTGCATTTGGACATAAATCTTCGAATTGAATTACATTTTTGAATTACATATTGCATTTTCGATTCGCTAATTCTATTTTCCAATTTGCAAATTTCAATAATTTACAATCTTCGAATCTTTCTATTTTAAATTTAAATTTCGATTTTTGGTAATCTTTGAATTGTTGCATTTTCGATTTCGAAAATTTCACCTCTTTTTAAATAATTCCATCCTCAATTTTGCAAAGTTCGGTTTTTCGACAATCTTCGGATCGATTTTACTAAATTTCACTCTTTGCATTTTTCACTTTTCTAAATTCCAATTCTTCCTTCATTCTTCGAATTCCTCGCGTTCCATTTTACAAATTTTACTCTTGACAATCTTCGAGTCGTCATATTTTCCTAATTCTTTCACCATTCTTGAGTCAAGTCAGTCGTGGACAGGAAGAACCGCGAGCGGTCGTTGCACAGGACTTCCTTCGATTAATTAACACGAAGGAGAAAGACATGGAGGGGTCGGTCGAAATCTCGCGGAAATCACGACGAGCGGAGCCGCGACGCGTTACGAACGTGGGAATCGTTTTCAGAGTGCACGCCGCCGTGAAACTATCACGCTGATTACATCTCTCTGTTTACTCTGCCGGAAAATCAACATTATTTATGAGTGCGTCCCGGCGAATTTCGTTACCGATCGTTCCGCGTCTCGAATCCGAATGAATTTTATTTTTTCGCCTGGAAAAAATGAGGAGGAACAAGGAAAAAGGAATAATCTCCTTCGTTCCGCCCACTTTTAACTGGGACTGGAAACTCAACCGACCGCGAACATTCAGAAACAGACCATCTCTCTGTTCCATCCTTCCATACTCGTTTTGAAACGAATAATGTCGTTAATTAAATTTTTCTAAGGAATAGTATTCTCTCTCAGGAATGTGTTTTTATTAACTTTGTTTATTTTCTTATATTTATATCGTTATTTTTTATTGTATGTATTTTTTTTTCATAACTTTGCAGGAAGACAAATTGGTGGAAATTATGTATGTATATATATATATATATATATA